ACATTATTTACCTTTAAATGTTTTTCTTATATTTATCCCCTAAACAATAATTTGGCACCAAAAATAAAATAAAGAATCCTCTTTATCATTTTACGTTCGTATTTCTTTTTGTCAGTGGAGATAATATCATACTAATGCTAATCTGTGATTATCATACTAATTCAATCAAAGACATTTCTATTCTCGTCGTTTGTTAATTATTTTGAAGATTTTTTTTATTGAAGTTTTACTACATTATGTAAAACGTTTGAATGCTTTAGAGAGAATATTCTATAGTATATATATATTTGCGTAAATCTAAATATTTTTTGTAATAATAAATTAGCATTATCTCCAAGTATATATATAGCTTTTATCTGTAGGAGTAGGACATTGTTTTCACTCCATGTATACTTGTTCAATTTTTCAATTTTAAAATATAACTAAGTTGAAAGAGCATCATCATACGAGCTTCGGTTGTATTTCGGTGATAGAACTTCCTCCTCGCTAACAACAAAGATGTGTTTCCAGGTTCACGATTCGATAGAAAAGCGAAGGAAGCAAAGGTGTGTCACTATTTTGCCGGCAAGCGTATCATGTTGGAGATAAGACGTTTTTGTTCCCATTTCTTGAGCTTCTTCACTTTAGAGATTCTGAAGAGGATGACTGACTGAGCATCATCCAAAAGAAACATTTGATCCTCCCAACGCTGTTCAGAATTGATTTTAGAGTCGGAACCAATACCATCAACCTGAAAATACAATCAAATTATGAGAGTGAAACACATAATCTAGTCATGCGAGGACAATAATATATGAGTACAAAAATGTGATTATACAAAATTTAAGCCATGTCGTAACACATATTCGAAGGAGAAAACGAGAGGATGATTAGATGAATATAGATATGTATTTGGGCTATGGTTTGAAAAGGTTGATGGTTCCTTATGGGTTGCTTTGTTGGGGTTTTATCTATTCGTTAAGCGTGATGAGAATTTTTATATGTGATGCCTTCTTTATTTATAAATTATCTTGTTTAGATATAGTGTTCTAATACATGTGCTGTTAGAATTGATTAATTTGATTAATTGAATGAAATTATTTTGGAAAATTTGAGTTTGATGATTACAATATAATTTTGAAACAAAATTATTTTGATGGAGTTGAAAAAATTGAGAATGAAGATTGTGATTTAGATCTTTGATTTTAAATCATATTATTTTGAATTATTCTTATTGAGCTATATAAAAATGTATTGAATTGATGTACTTCTTAACATTTTT